TTCCACAAATGTCACCCATGTCAGTCTGTCCTTTAATCTTTACCCATAAGCTCTCAACCCATTCATCATCCACCCTGAGGCAGAGCTCCATACATTCCAGGTGCTCTCTCACATAAAGGGCAACTCCAACTCCTTGCCTTCTTGGCCTGTCCTTCCTAAACAGCTTGTATCTATCCACGGCAGCATGCCAGTCATGAGAGCTATCCCGTCATGTCTCTAACTGCAATGAGATCATAGCCTTGCGACCACACACAGAGCTCTAATTCTTCCTGTTTATTCCCCATGCTGTGCGCATTTGTATGTAGGCACTTCAGACAGGTATTCGAGCATGCTGATTTCCCAGGAGGGGTGCAAGAAGTAACAACAGTAAGTAGCATTTAACTAAACAGTAATTTCATACCTGTAATTTCATCAATAACAAAATATTAAATGAGGGCATAGGATCTGTATGATTTTAAGTGTTGCTAGAACATTTGGTCCATTTTATATATAAATGGAATGGAACATAAATAAAGCTTTACTCTTAAGCAAGTAAACCCTTTATCAATCTATAGAGCAAGTGCACTGTATTACAGCATCCCACTGATATAAATACAAAATGGAAACAAGAAAGCTTACAGAATCTTTTCCCAGTCTTTTTTTAGTAGGAGATTTATGTTTTGATTCAGATCTTTGTCTAGCTCTGTCCTCATTCTCTCTCTCTTTTTTGTCTTTTTCTCGTTCAATATCTGATTCTGGTGAATCCTGTGTAAATAAAGGGAAAAATATTAAAGCTTCTGCATACTCATTTTCTTAACACACTGATTAATTTATATATCCAATACCCACAACTTGGCGGGGGGGGGGGGCAAAAAACAAACTCTTTATTTTAATATAGGCTGTATTAGAAAGTAACTGCTCAAAGTGGTTACTAATTAAACACAATGCTATTAACCATGGCAGAAAACTGCCAAACTACTAAACACTACTAAAGAGATTTGAAAACAAGAGTAGGATTGAGGAGAAAATGACCTGCTCCCCCAGACCCCTGATCACCATCCACAGAGCTCTGAAATCCCTTCCCTTCCCTTTCCAAGTTGCTCTTGGCACTATTGTTGGTGCCCACATGGAAAAGAAGCAGGGGGGTAATAGACATGCAGAGAAGCCTTGGCAGTCTTTCCATGACATATCGGATTTGAGCCCCCAGCAGGAAGCAAAACTTAGACAAGCGGTCACAGAAATCACAGAATCACAGAATCGAATCACAGAATCGTTTAGGTTGGAAGGAACCTCTGGAGATCATCTAGTCCAACCTCCCTGCTCAAGCAGGGTCACCTAGAGCATATTGCCCAGGATCACATCCAGACGGGTTTTGAATATCTCCAGCGAAGGTGACTCCACTACCTCTCTGGGCAACCTGTTCCAATGCTCTGTCACCCTCACAGGGAAGAAGTTTTTTCTCAGGTTCAGATGGAACTTCTTGTGGTTCAGTTTCTGCCCGTTGCCTCTTGTCCTGTTGCTGGGCACCACGGAGAAGAGTCTGGCCTCATCCTCTTGACACCCTCCCTTCAGATACCTGTACACATTGATGAGATCACCTCTCAGTCTTCTCTTCTCCAGGCTGAACAGGCCCAGCTCTCGCAGCCTTTCTTCAGAGGAGAGATGCTCCAGTTCCCTCATCATCTTGGTAGCCCTCCGCTGGACTCTCTCCAGTAGTGCCACGTCTCTCTTGCAGTGGGGAGCCCAGAACTGGACACAGGACTCCAGGGGAGGCCTCACCAGGGCTGAGGAGAGGGGCAGGATCACCTCCCTCCACCTGCTGGCAACACTCTGCCTAATGCACCC